TAATTATTATTTTTATAAAAAAATTATATTATTAAACCAAATATAAATTACTTCATTATTGAACCTAATTTAAATTATAAAAAAAATTGAACTAAAAAATTACACAAAAAATAGGAATGTTAAATAGTTAATTTGATACTAATATCGATATTTTTTTGTCATTTTTTAAGATATTTTCAAATTTATATTACATTCAAAAATAAAAACATTATCGCTTTTTCAAAATCACATAAGATCATACTATAACATCGACTGAGATAAAGAATAAAATGAAATATCAAAATCAAAATGTATCTCGCTGTATTGCGCGAGTAGTATATCAAAACAAATTTAGATTGCTAAGTTGTTGAGACAGTCAACTCTATGTTTTATGTAGTGGTGTGACTTCGTTAGGATATGATCTTTAAGTTCCTGCCTAACCTCCTTGCCGACATCGTGGAGCACACCACAAAAGACCTTATGTTGTGATCATCGGATTATCTTCGCCTCTTGGTCCAAGGTGTCTCCAACAAGAAGATAAAAAAAAATTGTCGTCCCGATTGCATAAGTTATTGGGTTCGTAATGCAAAAATTAAAATCGAGATACCAAAGGAAACCATATTTTTACTTTAAATATATTTTGAATTTTTACAATGAAAATACAGAAAACGACAACATGTATATACATTCACAAATCGATACATACATATATTATCGCATTCTGTTTGAACCTTTATCTAATTAAGTTTATGGGACATCAACCTATGGTCATATATGCTCAAACGGGAAAAAGCTCTAATTTATGAAAAAGTATATCAACATACGGATAATAAAATGCATGATACGACGGAGTTAAGCTCGATACTTGTTATCTATACTATATTATAAACATTTGACAAAAACTCTTAATAACCATTTTTTTATGTATAAAATACTGTATATTGATGCATATTACTTAAAATTCAAAATTACAAGTAAAATATGTATAAATACAACTTATTAAAGCTCGATGTTTGAATTCGTATAACTAACTGCGGATAAACATAATCAAATAGAGAATAAACATCTCATTTTAAAACATAAAAAATCTAAAATATAATTAGGATAATTATCGAGTTCTAACAAAATAATTAATTATTATTTTTATAAAAAATTATATTATTAAACCAAATGTAAATTACTTCGTTATTGTATCCAAATTAAATTATAATAAAAAAGTTACACAAAAATAAGAAATTTTAAATAGTTAATTTAATATTAATATCGATATATTTTTGTCAAATTTTTATGATATCTTCAAATTTATATTTTATTCAAAAATAGAAACATCATCGTTTTCTCAAAATCACATAAGAACATATTATAACATCGGCTGAGATAGAGAATAAAATGATATAATTAATTTCTATTAAATTGGTGAAAGATATAACAAGAAAACATTAAAAAGAATTAGAGGCGGTTTACCGAACGTTAACCCGGTAAGCACTTACTTGGTCACTTACCTTTCTGGATGAATATGGAGAGGAGACAAAGGACCGAGAATCTTACCTTGTAAGAGCATAGTAAGGACTAGAGATGGCCAAATGGGCCCGGCCCGGCCCGTAACCGACG